CGTCGTCGTCTCTCTCTCTCTCTCTCTCTCTCTCTCTCTCTCTCTCTCTCTCTCTCTCTCTCTCTCTCTCTCTTCGACGAGCTTATTTTCTCATTTAGCGTCGAAGAGGAAAATGGAGAAGCCGGAGTCATGATCGTTGGTCTAAAAGTCGCGATAATAGTCTTTGTAGCAATCGTAATTTTCCGTATTACGTGCTGAATAATCCAAAGTACTTTTATACAAGTATACAGAGATTTTCATGTTTAATTAATATACTCTTAATCTCATACATCAATATTTAATTTCTGTCGATATATTCCTCGATTAATTTTGAGTTACCGAAATTGCAGAAATGTCCGATATTAAAATCTCTTAATTTTTTAAATTTATGACTCGATACAAAATACCTCATCTCGATATTGTGTATCGAAAATAAATAAAATAGTAAAATAAATAATAAAATGAAATATAATTCATTTTTTATGGATCATGGCAACGCCTCGGGCTTTTTTTACGCTCGTATTATCGATATTGTGTCCTCTACGACGAGACGGATGCATCCACGGGATTCTTGCGAGAGAACGAGAGTATTGGTGAGCCCGCGAATGACTTACAGACTGCGGCAAGCGAAACCACCTCTTTATCTCGATTTGAAAGTTCGTGCGCAGCGGGCGTTCTGTTACGATATAAATTGCCAACTTAGCTCTGCGCTAACTATTTATCTATGTGTATACACGCCGTGCCATCGATCGTGATAGTCGAGTTCGCTATACCCAAGATCCGATCCTCCGAGTATACGTAATCCTTACGAAGTACGCGCGATCTTTTACGTCGTCGTAATACCTACTTATACATGAATTCCATCGGCACTCGTTGAAATAATTTCGCATAAATTTGTGCAAAGAAACCGCATATTTGATAACTGCGTCTCATTAAAAAGAATTGCGATTGTTTTAAATGTACGATAGGATTGTCGAACAGGCTTTGGAATCTAATAGTTTCCGGCAACATTTTAATGAATAATAATAGATGTATAAATAGTTGTTTAAAGTATTCTGTATTATTGACTAAGTTTCAAAGATAATTTGATATAAATAATCAAATAATATTATTTGAAACGAAATTTTTCATTAACGCAAAACTTTTCTATAAAATAAATCGTAATCATGCGAAAAGCATAAACAGCAAAATAAACATTTCATTAATGTATTTCTCTAATTGGTAAAATATCACAAATTATTAAAATATGAAAATATGAAATAAAACAAACACACAAAAAGAATCGCAAAAGAATCATGATATATCAATAAAATATCTTTCAGTTTAATTTTATCCTTTAATTTGATTCTTAAAGAAATTTCTTAGAGAATTCTTATAAGAATTTTCTTAAGTCAGACGTTTCAGAAACATTTCGTAATGTTCCCTTTTTCTAAATACAAAATTTTTATCACAAATTTGAAAGTCGCTTTTCATTATCATTTCGTACATCTTTATTAGGCTAAACCTATTTAATTTAAACACTTCCTAGAGATACCTTCGATTTCGTTCTGCTGATACTTACACATACACACACACACACACACACACACACACACACACACACACACACACACACACACACACACACACACACACACATTCCGGCGGGGTCTGTTTTAATTAAAATCAACGCGCGGACTCGATCATCGGACTCGACCTTTTAACCCCTGGAACCACGCGCGCGCAGCTGGCCTTGCTCACGTGCATGTCCCACGTGCTTTTACGATGCGGAATTATTGCTCGCCTCGCTGTTTATTAAATTGAATTGTGTCGCACCGCGTCGTCACCCCATGGCAGCGGGTCTTTATCGGTTCTTTCTCCCCCGTCGCTCTATTACCACTAGCAATTAACTAACCACTCATTAAGAAGTCGCGTGCACGATCATTTGTGCGCCAATCAAAGAACGGCCGACCTGTCGGCTCGGTTTTAGTCGATTATTATTGCAGTGCATTCGCCTTTTTTGTCGGTGATTTTTCACGAATGAAAAGATGATGGAGTCTATATATACGGAAAAATTGAAACAACTAATAATAAACATATTCGGAAAAAATGAAATAAAAGAATTAAAAAATAAAAGAAATAAAAGAATTTTTTCTTTGATCTTGATTTCACACGAAAAGATCGATCTTTTGATATTTAATTAAAATTCATTTTCTATCCCGAAAGTTTTTATCTCTCGAAGATAAATTATTCAACGAATTGTTAAAAAAGTAGACCGCATAAATATACATGTACAAATCATAATACTTAATCGACACTTAATCAATTATATATCAATTATATTATTGTTAACTCATAAATGCATTAAAATTATTTATTTTGAAAGACGGATTTCTAAATCAATTTTTTCTCATCTATAATAATCGTAAGATTTAGACTTTACTAAATTCTACGAAGTGCCGACTTATGTCGTGTATCTCGTGAGATTTTCGAAATCGACGATCGCATCAATTCTGAAGCGATATCCGGAGTGATGCTGATGAAAATTCGCGATTCGCGTCCGTACCGACGACGGAGAAGAGAAAACGCAGGATGTTCGATCTCGACGGGAAGACTACTAATAGGATTTTCGTGATCGAGTCCGTCGGCACTTTCGACTCGGCTGACTCCTCATTCCCATAAGAAGGCAATCGCCGCCGTATCTGCCTATATCGAGCGTCGCGCATGTATGCGACCGCCATTGTGCCAGATCGTGCATCCGCCGTAACTTAGATCCGCGCTCTCCACGCTGACCTCAAGGTGCATCGGTCTCGTTGCAACGTGCATGTTACAGAATTTGCGTAATCACGTATCATCGGTATCCGGATCCCCCTCCTCCCTCCCTCCTCCGCTGTCCCTCCTCTGTTTCTGTTTCCCTTTCCCTGCTCTCCCTGCTCGCGCTACGCAATCTTGTCGTTCCACACGTGCACGTTTACGTATGGCGCACGTACGTGCGCCAAGAGATGTATCCAATAAACAAGAGAAACTTACCATGCTGTTCCATAAGCATTAGTCCCGTCACGTTTATGGTTGCTCGTATCGCTCTATCAATAAGAATCCGCGTGCCGTCTGCGCTCGGACGGATCTTGATTTCAGCACGTGGTAGCTAATCGCTTTATGCTTTATCGAGTGTCGATCGCGCGCTGTCTTTCGTCTACTACACGCGCGTATTGTAACGCGCGAATTAACGTGAACGTAGGAAAACCTCTTGCCGCTTGTCGGCGAGAAGTAGTTGATGTTTTTAAGCTAGAAAATTGGTCTCGTGCGGCATCTAATCGTACATGACATTAATGGAGAAAGTTTGATTGATGTATTAGAATTTAAATTGGCTGCAGAAGATTTATTCCCAGTAGGAAATAGATTTTTGTAATGAGGACATTTCTACGATTATTTCCGCGCAATGGCGAATATTTTACAAATACTCACGTATAAATCGTTAGACTAAAATATTTTTCTAATGCATTTAAATATACGAAAATTGAATTGAAATTTAATTGCGACATATTTTTCGCTTTTTTTAGGATGCAAGAGTTTCTTCAAAAGGAGTGTCAGGCGGAATCTGACATACTCGTGTCGAGGGACCAGAAATTGTCCAATCGATCAACACCATAGAAATCAGTGCCAGTTTTGCCGCTTGAAAAAGTGCCTGAAGATGGGCATGCGCCGGGAAGGTATGCACTGTACTGAACCCTTTTTATGAATTTATTAGCAATCGATCTCCACTGGTGATTACATCGGGATCGCCGAAATCACGTCTTGACGGTATTATTTTAGGTTCTCACAAAAAGAATTGGAAGAGATCAATTTTTGACGAAAATTTTATGAACATAAATAAGAATATTTGTTTGATGAAATATATTATAAAATGACTATTGCATAAAAATTACATATATGTTACGATTGTTTTATATTTTTATATACATTTATAATAATTTTTTTCATTGGAATTAAAATTGGACATATTGTGAAGTTATTAAACATAAAAAATTGGACTCTTGCAATATTTTTCTTGGGATCTGCTGCTTTTTCTAATACTTACTTCTTACAATAAAAAAAGCGAAAAGCCGTCCTGATAAAACGATGTTTCTCTAAAATATGGAGTGTTGAATGGATATTTAAAATAGCAATGGCAATACATAAGCATTAGATTGAAATGATAACAAAAATGTCTCTATTCTTTCATTACACTGTTCTCTGAGAAGAAATACTTTTTTACTCGAAATAATTTGTAAAGGAAAAACATTTCAATTTAATTTCATAATTTGTTTGAAGAACGACATCTTTTACGACTATTTGTTAAGAAGCCACGTTGTTCGATTGTGCTTGGAGAAACGTCGTCGACGAAATATCGATCCGATGATAATATTCGCGACTCGTTGTGATCACCCGTTAAACTCTCCGTCACACGGTCCATAAATCGAGCTCCCATTCTTCATGTGTCATCCTGATCGAATTGCGGAATATATAACATTATGTATATATCACATATAGTAATACACAACATAACTAATAGCTTATTGTACTCTTATTGTACTCTTATTGTACTCTTATACGCTAATTTGAAAATATCTTTAAATTTTTACGCTTTACTTAACAAAGGAATTTTTATTTATAATATAATTACGCGATTTACATTACATTACTCTCACAAGCGTTTATCAATCACGTTTATCGAAAAAGAATTAAGTCTTCTAATTCTAGTTCAATGATCTCGCAATGTCCGTCAACTGTCTCCTTTCGGTGATATCTGGCTATTCTAAAGACATCTCAAAATGTACGGCAAGTTGGCTTTCGGCGCGCTTCGACACGGCAGGAACTTTTAATTGCAGCCCGTGAAAAGACCGGAAAGGTTCCCACGCCTTATCCCCGCCCCTGATTCCACGTTCCTTCGCTCTTGAACTTGGCTACTCGCGCCGCGCGCGATAACATCTGACCTTGTTCCGCCGCGCGCACGAGGAGGAGAGGAGAACGCGCTCTCTTGCTGGTCATCGGCTCTCTCCAGGCCTACCCAGGTGTACGACCACTTCCGTCCGAGACGTGGCCGTCCATCGTGGCTGGCGCGGCCGTCTGTCTGCCCCCAAGCGTGCTCGCGCCGCGATCGTAAATCCGGTAAATCACACGTTTTTATGTGTATCGGCCGCACGCGTCCACTTGCACTATCGACGGGGGGATGCGGGGGAGCGGAAATTGGCGATTCTGTCGCGCTGAGAGGAAAATGTAACGAGATATAATACAAACAATTACAATCGATTGACATCACCTTCTTTAGGTTGAAATCACAATAGAACAACAATTAACAGTAATGAAAAAAGCGAAAGAAAGAGGAAATAATTAAAAAAAAAAAAAAAAAAACGTTCGAGAGCTGTCGCTTTTAACAAAAATAGTCTCGTGCTCACAGATTATGTTCTCAAGATAGATATTTATTGATGCGACTGCATGTCAATTTTTTTTTCATTTTTCTTAATAATTTAATGCTTATCTTGAAATATCTCTCTTGAATCGAAATCCCGGTAATGTAATCTCCATAAGAAAGCGAAGTGTGCAGGCATGCGTTATTGTTGAAACTTAATTTCTCGGAACTTGTTAAATATTCTCTCGCTGGTTGCAAATTATCGAGATCTCGAGACCGGAACAGTTGTCCTTCATTTTGGTCTGGCCTCTTTCGTATGCGAGTCGCAGAATGCGCATGACTTCCCAGAGGCACACCGCACATTCTCGAATATCGTGAGCCACGTTGTACTTCATGAAAGAGAAGCTCGCGCACGATTATTCGCACGAGAGCCGGCGGCTGTCCTGCTCGCGGCGCAGTTTTTCCCACAGGAACGTAGGCACGAGAAGCGCGGAGAAGACGTCGCGTTTTCTGCCCTGTCACAGCGACATCCGCCCATTATCCGCGATGATGCCCCGGTCTTTGATAATAATTCGAGTTCGCTCGCGAGCACGGGGCACGTAACTCCGTATACACTCACCTGGCCTCTGCCGTATACGCTCGCATGAAAGATTCACAGGAAGGAAACAGGGAAGGAAAAAGAGCGGGAGAAGAGGACAGCAGAAGAAGAAGAAGAAGAAGAAGAAGAAGAAGATGAAGAAGAGGTTGAAGAAAAGGAAAGAGAGAAGAAAAGTGCACGAAGGGCGAAGAGCCGCGGAGAAGGGAGAGGGTGACCGAGGGCAAGGGGGGTTGCCGGCACCGCCGGCAGGAGCAGCAGCAGCAGAAGCAGCAACGGCAACAGCAACGGCAGCAACGGGAGGAGGCAGAAGAGGCGAGAGGTCGTGGGTGATGAAGGGGGAGGGTTGAAGGCGCAAGAGAAAAGAAGGAACGGGAAGGAGTGAAGGAATCAGGAGAGAGGCGGGAAGGAGGAAGGAGGACTACAGAGGGGGAGGGAAAGACGAGATGGTCCGAGGTCAGCGGGGTGCATGACCTTACCTCGGGGCCCCTTCCTTCCGTGGGGCCCTCGAGGCAGACAGGATGCGCTGAAGATTACCCTGTAGATACTGTCCGCGATGATTACAGAAATCTAGGAAGCCGCTCAATTTAATTAACCCTTAATTGCGAGCGCTCGAGACGGGATGGTGCGTTTACTCCGGTACTCTGACGCTTTTCCCTCGTCCCCCTTGTCTATTCGAGAACGATGATGATGATGATGATGATGATAATGGTGGTGGTGGTGGTGGTGGTGGCGACTGTGTTGTTCTTCATGTGTACACGCGCGATGATGCGTGAGTTATCGTCCCATGAAACAAAATGCATCTTATCTTTCAAAGATGAATGTTGAAAATGGAAGAGACATGGTCCAATATATAGTGTAGTAACGTTACAGATCCTGCTTGAAGCTTGTCAAATCAATTGAATCCATTATTTCTCGATAAAGTGGAGTTTTTCATATTATAACTTGAAATTCTACGAGTAACATTTTTTTTTATATAAAAGGAATTATATATTCATTTATTTAAAAAAATAATTAAAGGAATGTAAGAACGATGTAATCTTCGTAAGACTTTAGGAAAATATGTACGATACTTTTATTAATATCTTACATTGCTAATTGTCATTATTTATGGATGCAATGAATCTCTTGAAGACATTTTTTATAATACTTGAAATAAAATCTGATAATTTTGATCTGAAAAATGTGATTAAGATAAAAGGACTAGTATGCGCCAATCAAAGATAGCGCGATAAAATCCGTTAAAATTTTTGAAATATTATGTTTTTTATATGTTTTTATGAAAGTCTTATCGCACGCAGTCAGCTTATGTCATCCTTTTTATTAAATACAGGTTTCTTAATTATTTCCATGATGTTAATCAGTGATTTCTTATGCATTACCCTATGTATTTTGTTTATCTCGTATAATGTTTTGATGACAATATGACTAGAGTTTTTTGAAATTGTCTTCATTACAATGGAAAAAAGCGTCTTATTAGTCGATTTTTTCCGCTTCGTGAGCACGGAATTGGAGATCAGCTTTATCACGTTAAGCACTCTTCAGTTGGTCGCGTAACTATCGAGTGTACCCATCGTGATATACCGATAGTGATTCGCGACTAGAAGACTCCGTTACGTACTTAATACGCTCGTTAAAACGAGGAACTTAGAAACGCATTTGTTCGCAGACGCGCACATCTCTTCTTTCGCAATAAATCTGCACTGTTTATTTTACAACCTGCAGCCGTTACTTCGCGCCTGCTTCGATATCTTTGCTTCTAAGGAAGAAAAAAACAACCAGCTTTTAATATTTTGTGCGCCAAAATGATTGTATCTTTTTAATTTATGGCGACATTATAATAATTAACCCATTTAGACACGGACGTACTTTTATTTCTTATGCCAATAACATTAAAAGAATCATGATGTTAAATATACTATATTTGCGATGTTCTGCCTACGCTTGTAACCATAAAAATTTAATGACAAATTTGATTTCGATTGCTGAAATAAAATTAGAAAAAATAATTCTATAAAGAGGAAGAAAATTTCTATAATTTTATTTTAATATTTTCGTCAACATTTTCTTTACACTAATAATATATTGTTATAATATTATCTGGAAATTTTCAAAGTCTATGCGATTATTTGTTTGAGATATTTTTTTATATTATCATGATTTAATGTTCAAATACATTGCCTTATTTATGAATATATTAATGTAATAGGAAGGAGTATAAATTTTTTTTAGAAAATGTTAAAGTTAATAAAAATATTGTTTTGTATTTTTTACTTTGTTAAATTTAAAATTTAAAATTTAGTTTTATTTATTAATCAAGGAGATATATTTCAAAGATATTAAAATATTGTGCAAGCAGAAGGTTACATTAACATTACCACGTCCATTTTAATTTCATTGGTTTTAGAAATTATTTTAACGAGCAGATTTCCTCTTTCTCATAAACGAATATCATTTGCCGTGATATTGCGATATTTTTCCCATAACAAACACGAATGTACCGCAAATTTCATAAACTCTCACGTGGACGATGCGCACATAGATACATATCGTCGAACATTCGTTAACGTTGTAACAAAAGGAGACAGGACGCGCGACGACGAGGAGGAGGGGCGCGATGGGAGCCGAGAGAGAAGACGTAGAGAGAACTCGAGAGGCAAATAACCCTAATTTCATCGTCGGAGACCTGCATTCAGAAAGTCATTATCAAACGACCGTCCCGCGCGCCCGTTATA